GGAGGAGGGGGCGGGGAATTTCCCCCCACGCCTGCCTGGGCCTGCTCCCCTCCCCCTCCTCCGCCAGGTGGGGGGCACCGCTGGGGGAATTCCACAGCACTCCCAAGCTTCCGAGCGCCAGGGATGGGGTCCTGGGAAGGAGGGGAAGGGAGGGGAGAGGCTGGGGCCAGGGGCGCAGCTGCTTTCCTCCCCAGACACCAGCTGCCCCTGCCTGTCCCGGACCGAGGGCCCACCGATGTTCGCCTGTCTCGCGGGTGCGGGGGCAGGGAGTGGCACTTCCTCCTTGAACCCGGAGGCGTCGGGACTTGGGGAAGGAGCGTGAGCGAGCTTGTGAGCTGCTGGCAATGAATGGGTGACCGAGGGGGAGAGAGCGCAGGAACTTGAATGAGGGTGCCTGTGACCTGGAGACTCCCTGCTGCAGCGGGAGGGGATCTTGCACGTCCCCCTTGAGGATCCCTTGCCTGCTAGCTCGGCCTGTCCCCCTCCACGCCCTTCCACTAGAACTCGCACTGACCCTGGGAGAAGGAGAGGGAAGAGGCGGGGAGTGGTTCACCGTGACATTGGGGGTCCTGAGGGGTGGGGGCGGGCGGGCGGGAGTGGGAGGCGTCTGGACCTGCTGCCTGCGCTCCTGTCCCGGGCGGGGCTTCCTGTCCTACCTGGGTGGGGGGACCAGCGGGGGAAGCGAGGGGGACAGAAGCTAGCGCGTTAGAGACCCAGGCGAGGGAGACGCCGGCAGCCAGGCACAGCGGGAGGTTGAGGGTGTGGAGGCTGAGGCACTACCCAGAGCAGAGAAGGCCGAGACAGCTCCCAGCCTGACCCCCGGGCGGGGGGGGGGGGACAGGGGCAGAGAGACACCTCCGAGAGGTACAGACCCTGGGAGGCAAAGATCCCCGGGAGATATCTTCCCCCAGGCAGACAGCGCGGCCCAAAGAGTGAGAGGAGAACAGCAAAGACAACGCCTCCAAGGTCGCCCAGGAGACCCCCGGAGCAGCCCAGGGGCGGTCCGGTGGTGTCCGGGCCAGGACGACTCCTTGGTTGGGGCCATGGGGACACGGGCCCTGCCGGGGCTCCTCCTCTTTCTCCCGCTGCTGCAGCCGCGCAGGGCCTGGGCAGGAAGCCTGAACAGTCCAGGTGAGTCAGGCATGGGGCCAGGTCACGGTCGCCGCTCCGTCCTCAGCCTCTGCACCAGGGCTGGTGGGGGCCCGAGGGTGGAGAGGCGGCAGAGCAGGTGGCTGGAGCAGCTGAGCAGCCCGAGGGCCCCTCGGGGGCAGACGCCGGGGGTGTTGACCGTGACCCGGGCGGGAGTCTGGGGGGTGCCCTAGGATGCCGTAGGAGCGGCCAGTCTCCCCAGGTCTCGCAATTGCCCGGCAGGTCTGTCCGAGTGCTTCCAGGTGAATGGCGCCGACTACCGTGGCCAGCAGAACCACACGGGCCCGCGCGGGACCGGACGCCCGTGTCTCTTCTGGGATCAAACGCAGCAGCACAGTTACAGCAGCGCCAGTGACCCCCAGGGCCGCTGGGGGCTGGGCGCGCACAACTTCTGCAGGTGAGCGGCGAGGCCGGACGCCTCGCTGCGGGCGGTGCCCTGAGCGGGACTCGGGTGGGCCCTCGCGGAGGTCTGCGCTTCGGCTCAGCCTGAGGATCTAGGGGCGGGGCCAAAGCACTCTGGGCGGGGGTGTATCTTGCATGGGAGGCGGGGCGGGATGCGCAGAACCTGTTCGCAAAAGGGCTAGGATTTAACTGCCTAACTTCTGCAGAGCTCAGGTCAGGGCCGAGAGAGGATCAGGGGCCGGTTCGCCAGCGCCTGGTCAGAGGGGAGCTCTAGAGAAAAGAGACAGCCTCTTGCCGTACTTCTTTGAGTGGCATCAACTCCGCGTGATGGAGGGATTTGGATCCGAGCCACAGCTGGGCTGGAGTGGCAGGGACCTAGGAGGCCACTTCTCTGGACTGCAAAGCTTGTGGCTCATCACCACTGCTCTAAGCGGGGCACTGTTGTGCATACCTGCAATTCCACTCAGGCGGGTGGCAGGAGGATCGCAGTGAGTTCAAGGCCAGCCTGAACTACATAGTGAGACTCTGTCTCAATCAATCAACCAATCAATAATAGGGCTCTGAGGCAGGGGTGGGGCCAAGACTAAGCAAGGGTAAAGTCCTAAAATATGAGGTCAAGTCCCAGCAACAGCCCTCAAGGTCCCTTTAATGACTTCCACCACCACTTGCAAGTTGATGTCCAGAAACACATGGAGAAAACTAGAACCTGTGTACATAGCTTCTAACAAGTGGAACCTTGGTGGCACATTGCACATAGACACAATGGGATTCTGACCCCCCAACTCCGCCAGGAACCCTGATGGTGATGTGCAGCCATGGTGCTACGTGGCTGAGACAGAGGAGGGCATCTACTGGCGCTACTGTGACATCCCCACGTGTCACAGTGAGTGGGCCTGGGTGAGAGAGGGGGAAGTGCAGTGGGAGGGTTGCTTTTGGAGGTGGGAGCCTGACCCCACTGTCCCTTCAGTGCCTGGCTACCTGGGCTGCTTTGTGGACTCTGGCACACCCCCAGCTCTCAGTGGTCCCAGTGGCACCTCCACGAAGCTCACGGTCCAGGTGTGCCTTCGTTTCTGCCGAATGAAGGGCTATCAGGTACAGTACTGCCCATGAGCACTGAGCAATGACCCCTGGCTGACCTTGACCTCAGGACTCCACTCAACTCCCAACACTCAGACACCAAACCTTGACTGATTCCGAACTTTTAGCCTGATTCCCACTTCTGACCCCACCACTCCACCCCTACCCATGTCCCTGCCTTGGGGGTCACCTAGTCTGTGCTCCCAGCTGGCTGGCGTGGAGGCTGGTTATGCCTGCTTCTGTGGCTCTGAAAGCGACTTGGCCCGGGGACGAGGGGCGCCTGCCACCGACTGTGACCAGATCTGTTTTGGCCACCCAGGCCAGCTGTGTGGTGGCGACGGGCGGCTAGGCATCTATGAAGGTGAGGATGCAAGTCTAGGTGGGACCAAGCGTGCCATCACCTAATAGGGACAAAATCAGGGAAGGGGAAGTGGTAGGCTGGGGTTCCTGCCTGGGGAGAGAATCGGAATTGACAGCAGGTCAGCAGAGGGCACTGGAGAGCAGGACCTGTGCAAAGATTTTCCAAAGGCAGGGCTTATGGAAGGAAGTCAGGCGGGATCTCGGTTTGGGGTGGGGCCTCATGAGTGGACTGGGCTGTCCTGGGTTGGGGCCTAGCTGGACTGGGAGCTGCGGTCGTTAAGGGACAGCTCCGCTGACCTCAGGGTCTTGACCACTGGCCCTGTGCGCAGTGTCTGTGGGCTCCTGCCAGGGAAACTGGACGGCGCCTCAGGGTGTCATTTACTCCCCGGACTTTCCTGACGAGTATGGGCCAGATCGGAACTGCAGCTGGGTGGTGGGCCCGTCGGGCGCGGCGCTGGAGCTCACCTTCCGCCTTTTCGAGCTGGCGGACCCACGTGACAGGCTGGAGCTGCGCGACGCCCCTTCGGGGAGCCTACTGCGGGCCTTCGACGGCACCCGCCCGCCGCCGCCCGGGCCTCTGCGCCTGCGGGTCGCTGCGCTCCTGCTCACCTTCCGCAGCGACGCGCGTGGCCACGCACAGGGCTTCGCACTCACCTACCGCGGTGAGCCTCGCCCCGGCCCCCGCCCCCTCCCAGTGCCTCCGCCCCGCCTCACGCTTGGCTCCCCTCAGGGCTGCAGAATGTCTTCGAGGACCGCGAGCACACCAAGGAATCAGCCCAGACCCCGGCTGAGACGTCTGGAGGGGCCAATGCGAGCTGCAGCCCCAGACCTGTGATTCTGCAAGCTGCCGTGGGGGGTGAGGCACATGAGAAGTAGGCGGTGGGGGTGAGTCAGGAAGCAGGCCCTGGGGGGCCCTGTCCTAACCACACCCGTGTGCCCGCAGCCCGGGTCTTCTCATCTGTGACAGTTGTCTCTGTGCTGCTCCTCCTGTTCCTGTTGCTGCTTCGTCTCCTGCACCGACGGTGTGGGCGCTGGGGCAGGGCCTGAGGGTGGACCAAGCACCGGGAGCCTGACATCTCGGAGCCCAGGGGCATGGGGCCCCGGTGGGGGACTTGGGGCCCAAGGTGGGAGCGAAGCTAGGAGGGGATGCCTGTGCTCTTGAGGGGGCAAGGCCTTGGGTCCACACAGAGAGCCACATGTGGGATCCCAGGCAGAATAGGACACTGGAGGTGGGATTGAGTAGGGGTCCAGCTGACATCTGCTCCCTCTCTAGGAACTGTCTGCTGGCTCCAGGAAAAGGCCCACCAGCATTGGGACCTTCCCGGGGCCCTGGGAGAAGCTGGGCCGTGTGGTACCACAGGCCCAGAGGGATGGCTATGCCCTGTCCTACTGGAGACCCCCCGGCTGAAGGTCCTGCCCTGGGCTACCGGCCCTTGAGTGCTTCCAGCCAGAGTTCCTTGCGCTCACTCATCTCTGCTCTCTGACTGCGACCCACAGGGTCCATAGGACATGGGACCTTGTGCCATTGAGATGGACACCTGAGACATTACACTGCACCCTACCTCGGTCTTCCACCCCTTCAAAGGCAGATCGGCCTCTGGTCATCTTGGGGAGACCAGAAACTGGAGCGGAACCATCTAGTGCTATTGTTGGAACTTGGGCTGACCCTCAGGGTCCAAGTGAGCTAGGCCAAAGGACAAGAAAAATCCAGCCTCCCAACCCACGGACCTCAATGTGGGGGTGGTCTCTGGTTTCAGCAGTCTTTGAGTTTCTCTTGTGGTGGTCCTGGACTGCTGTCCTTAGTGAAAGGTCAGCGGTCAACAAAAGTGTCAAAAGATCACCCTCGACTTTAAGTAAAAGGCCTATTTTTGTACAGGCCTCAATAGTTCTTACATGGAGGGAGCAGCTATGTTAATGAGGTACAGTAGCAGAGGATTGCCTGTATTCATGCAAATGAAAGGCATTTCACAGAACGAATTTGGTGGAGCCTTCTGGAAAGCAGAGGATAAAGGGACCGGGAATGGATGGGTGTCCCCTGTAGAAAAGGGGGAGGCAAATGCTTCTGGTCCCGCCCAGGGTGGAATGGTGGGACGGGCTTTCTGTCTTCCCCTCTGTTTCCTGGCTGTTCTGGACTGGGCCAAAGGTGCGCCTTGTGGGCGGGATAAGGAGTAAGTAGGGCCACCCCCAGGGTAGAAGCCTCCTCCAGGCTTGGCTATCGTGCGGAGATCACCTCCACAATGGGGGTGCTCAGGAGCCTGTCCGGACCCTCCAAACTGGTCCATGCCAGCAGCACCTTGGACAGAGCCCTGACTGCGGTGTGGAACTGGGTGGCCAGGCTGTGCCAACAAGGGTGGGTGCCAACCTGGGGATCGTGGGAAGGATCAGGTGTGAAATGCCGGGGGACACGAAATGCCAGGTCACTCCAGAGGATGCGGAACCAGGACGTCGGGCCCCAAATCAACTACCCCATGCAGATGAGGCTGGAACTATATATATTATCCTAAGAGGAGGAGGAGAAGGAGGTCTGGGGAGCCCTGGAGGAGCTCCCCACCGGCCCTGCCCATTGGCCTGGGCAGGGCAGACGTCAGGAATCTAGCGCGCCAAACAGCAGGGTAGCGGGGGCGAGGAGCGGGGCGGAGCCTGACGTCCCCTCCCTCGTCCTGCCGCGCCTGTCCTCCAGGCTTCCGTGAGAAGACCCGCCGCTGCTGCTGCTGCCTCTAAGCGAGCGCGCCTTCCCTGCACGTAGCCGGCCGCTCTGCTTGGACGCTGGGGTCCCCAGCCTCTGTCCACGAGTGGAGGCAGCGGGCTCGCGCAGCGCAGGGAGTGGGCCGGGACCACTGGCTGTTGTGTGCGGCATTTCCGCGCAAGGCAACGAGCATGAGCTTCCCGGATCTGCAGCCCCACTGAAGAGCAGGCCCTGCAGCAGGAGAAGCGCGAGCCGCCCGCGCTGCTCGGGGCCATGGCGTTTCTGGCCGGGCCGCGCCTGCTGGACTGGGCCAGCTCGCCGCCGCACCTGCAGTTCAATAAGTTCGTGCTGACCGGCTACCGGCCGGCCAGCAGCGGTTCGGGCTGCCTGCGCAGCCTCTTCTACCTGCACAACGAGCTGGGCAACATCTACACACACGGTGAGCTGCGCCCCGCTCCCTGGTCCCGGCTAGTCCCGACCCCGACTCGGCTAGGAGCTGCAGTGACAAAGCTCCCATTGTCCGAGCCTGCGCTGCCAGCTTCCGCTTTCTCAGCAGGGGGCCCCAGGACTGGAGAAGGGAGCAGAGTGGGGTTCAGACGCGGTTGATCCTGCTGAGCCTCAGGCTTGGTGGTAAAGAGCCCCGTGTCAGACTCCTTCGTAATGCCAGCGCCCGGGGCACCCATCCTGGAGTTGGGTGGTGTGTCCAAGAGAGCCTGGGAACAGAAGCCGGGCCCCAGTCCCTCCTGCCCTATTGCTCCCGCCCCAGCAGCCCCGGCTCTACTCCGCTTGGCCGTGGCGCTGCCCCCCCGCCCCGCCCCCGCAGGCGCCCTGCCCCTCCTCTGCCGCTCTGCTGACACAGACTTGCCCGTCCTTGAGCCGCCACCAGCCAGGAGAGAGGCCGAGAACCGCCTGGGTTTAGCCTTGGAGCCTCTCCCTAGTGACAGAACTATGAATGAGGCAGACCCCTCCAAAAGTGGGCGTGTAGCCTGTGTCCTGGTCTGCCCCGTGAGAGCAATACCATTCCCCCAGGAACGGGTAGGCATCCCCCAGAAGGGCTTTGAGCCGGCAGGAATGAAGCCCCTGGAGAGTCGGAACTAGCTTTCAGCCCTGTGCTGTCACTCTGGACTTTCCTGGCTTCGCCCCTTTCTGGAAGACCAAAATGCCTCAACCCTCCATTTGTATGGGCACTTGGTAGCTCTGGGGCTGTTGTGTTGCCCACGTGTCCTACTCAGAATTCAGCCTGAAGTCACACCTCCCGGGGCTTCTGTGGACACCCTAGGACAGGCAGGCCTGGTGGGGCCTCCTGCTTGAGGGGTGAGGGCAGCTTGGGAGGGAGACTGCCTGGGCTTGTCCCCTGTCCTTTACTTATTGCTGGGTTCACCTGGGGCAGGTTATGTGGCTTCTAAGCCTCAGTTTCCTCACCTGTAAAGTGGGCCTCATGGTCCCTACTTCCCAAAACTTCAGTGAGTCATGACAGTTTCTGAAAGTCTGTGGCCCTGAGCTACCTTCATGCTGGATTGCTGAATGTCATGTTCAGACCTATCTCATTCTCATCCCTCTTGTGTCATCTCTAGACTGGTCCCCTTCTGGAAGTGACCTGTGCTCTATGCTGAAACTGCCTGATTGATAACTGTCTCCCTCCCCCAGGGCTGGCCCTGCTGGGCTTCCTGGTGCTGGTGCCAATGACCATGCCCTGGAGTCAGCTGGGCAAGGATGGCTGGCTGGGGGGCACACACTGTGTGGCTTGCCTGGCCCCCCCTGCGGCCTCAGTGCTATATCACCTCTTCATGTGCCACCAAGGGGGCAGCCCCATGTACGCCCGGCTCCTCGCCCTGGATATGTGTGGGGTCTGCCTTGTCAACACCCTCGGTGAGCCAGGGCTCCAGGGAGGGGAGGCAGGGGTTCTGGCATGACCCCTAGGCAGCCTCAGACTTACTGCCCTCTCTTACTCTCTCTCTCTCTGCAGGGGCTCTGCCCATCATACACTGTACCCTGGCCTGCAGGCCCTGGCTGCGCCCAGCTGCCTTGGTGGGTTACACAATGCTGTCAGCTGTAGCTGGCTGGCGTGCCCTCACAGCCCCCTCTACCAGTGCGCGGCTCCGAGCTTTTGGTTGGCAAGCTGGGGCCCGCCTGCTGGTGTTTGGGGCCCGTGGAGTAGGGCTGGGTTCAGGGGCTCCAGGCTCCCTGCCCTGCTACCTGCGCATGGATGCACTGGCACTGCTCGGAGGGCTGGTGAACGTGGCCCGCCTGCCAGAGCGCTGGGGGCCTGGCCACTTTGACTACTGGGGCAACTCCCACCAGATCATGCACCTGCTCAGCGTGGGCTCCATCCTCCAGCTGCACGCCGGTGTTGTGCCTGACCTGCTCTGGGCTGCTCGTCATGCCTGTTCCCTGGACTGAGCTGCCTTCTGCCTGCCCATGGCCTCTTGGGGCCAATAAAGCCACTGTCCTTCCTTCTGCCAATCTTCGAAGGGAAGGCTCCCTGGATGCTACCAGTGCAGAGGACTTCCTAACTGAGATTCCTCATCTCTTTTTCCCTGTGGACTAACCTCTCCTACCCAGTCCTGGAACTCCCAACTTCCCTTCCCTGCTTTCTTTACTTCTCTACTCTGTCAGCTGGAAGGACATCCCCCACGCACCTCTCTATCTTTGTGACCTGTAAGGGCTGGACAGAGGGACTCTGGGGTCATATCTCGCTCTGACAGTTGGAGTCCTGCCCACTTATGCCATTATGCCCTCCCTGCCAGTCTAGAACCATCATCCTACCCTGCCCCTCCCATAAGAGGCCAGCCCCTCTGCCCCTGCTTCATGATCTCCATCTGTCCCCCCTGCATGCCTCCCCAACAGCCAGAAGCTTCCCTTTCCTGTCCAAGAGACAGGAGTAAGGGTATGGGGCAGCAGGGCAACCCTCTTGTCCTAGGACCAAGTAGGCACTGGCCCTTCTTGAACCAAGTGGCCAAGAGACAGGAGGTCACTAGCTGCTTTTCCCAGGCAACAGGCACAGATGTAGAGTGAATGACTCCAGGCCTATGCCCCACGTAAGTGCCATGCTTTGATGATCCAACCTGCCCACTTGGGGATATGCTCACTCAGGAAATCTCTGCTCCACACAGTGTGTCGCTCCAGTCCTCTGGCCTGAGGCTAGGGTAACGGGGCTCTGCAGCAGGGCTCAGCCTCAGGACAGGATCCTTCCAGAGGCCCAAGACCCTGGGCAACATTAACAAAGGGACAGGAGGGGCCGGGGATTTAGCTCAGTGGTTCCGCTGCCTGCCTTGCAAATGCAAGGACCCGAGTTGGATCCCTGGTACCAAAAACAAAACATTTTTTTTCTATACCATGAAAAAAAAAAATAAAGGGACAGGAAGCACTGTGTTGCTACTCAAGCAAGCTTGGGTACTCCCAAGATTCAAATACTTTTTATTAGACACAGAAATTCCCAGAGGCATCCCACCTTCCCAGGGGAGGGACAGGAAAGGGATTCCAAGGTTAAAAGCACCAAAGTTGGGCCTGTGGTTCAGACTGGATCTAGTGAGTCCTCAAACAGGCTGAGGAGGTTCCGAGGCTCAAAGGAAGGGCAAGAACCTCTAGGAGGCTCTGAATCCATGTCACTCAGGTCTAGGGTATCCCTTGGGGGAAGGAACAAAGAGGAATGACACTCAGGATCCCAAAGCCGACCCTGGCTAGCCCCAGCCCTCGGGCCTGCTCACCTTAGTGTGTACCTGCCCTGGGGTGTGAAGGTACTCCTACTGGCTGGGCCCAGGATGGCCTCTGGGGAGAGTGAGGGCCTGCAAGAGGGTGGGCAAGACCAGCACAGTGTTGGGGTTTGGGGAGTGCAGGACAAGACCAGCTCTGACCCAACTTGGGTCAGTGAAACACGGTGCACTTTGACCATCTCTAAGTCTACCTGACCATACCCAGTGGCCACCTCTGTCTCTTTTCAGAACACACCCAGCTTCAACGAAGCTGCATTTTAAGAGAACTTCTGATAAATGAAGTTTTTCAAGCACTTCCTCTGTGCTCTAAAGTGGCCCCCAGAACAAGGGTGACATTAGTATAAGGAAGGGATTCCTCCTGAAAGCTATGTGTCTGGAACATGTAGCTTTCCTGCGCAGCAGTTTCTTAATTACGGCCTCTCACTTGGCCATCAGGCAACCTAAGGTAGGACAGGGGACTGCCAAGGTCTGGGAGGCTTTTTTCACTCAGGGAAGGACAATGTCTTGTCCCTGAGGAGTAGTAATTTCTACTGAGGTGGGAGCTGCCCCTGTGCTTGTCCCAACAGGAGCACTTGCCTGCCTGCTGCAGCTGATATACAGCTAGCTGTGCGCAGCTGGCATCCCATGGCAGAGCTACACTTACACAGGCAAGGCTGCACCCATGGGGTATGATGCAGTCAGGTTTGTGGCAGGCTTCCATCCACCATTTCGCTCCATGGACCCTGGGCCTCCTATGGTGGCATTTGGTCACAGTGATGCCCTCTCATCGTAAAGCATCTTAAGCATTCACCTACCCTATGCTGTCATCATCCCAGCTGCTGGAGTGGCTGCTGTCCAGGTGCGGACTGCAGGGTGGTGAGCCAGGTGGGGTGGCTGGTGGGGCTGGTGGCTGCAGCCAAGTAGCAGGGTGAGCTAGGCCATGCCAGAGCCAGCACAACAGGGTGAGTAGGGCCTGTGGGGAGACTGAACCTTAGGAGACCAGGTAGGTGCTGATGCAGGGTGCAGGGGGCATCCCAGCACATGTGGGCTTACCTGCCACATGGCCCAGCCTCGACTCAGGGCCTCAGCAGCCATGTACCACAGGATACTCCAAGGGCGTGGCTGCCTCAGCATGGGCAGGGCCAGCAAGGCTTCAGCTGTAGCTCGTAGCTGGGGATCAGGCTCCAGCATCATGACAAGGACAGAACGAAGCTCAGTAGAAAGACCTGCCCATGAGGGAGAGCCATATCAGGGACCCCAGGGTACCAACCAAACCAAACCAAACCCACCCCCCAGCTCAACAGTAGCCCCATCGGCAGCCATTCCCTGACATACACAGGGAGCCCACCCCTGGATTCCCACTCACCAGCAGTAAACTCAGGGGGTAGAAAGCCCTGGCGCAGCTGCTGCCAGCCCTCTCCACCATGGGGTAGCTCCATGTTGCAGGCTACTTCAAGGATGGTGAGACCCAGACTGGGAAAGACAAGGAATGGAGACAGAAATGGGCAGAGTTGGCCCTGGGACACTGACCCCAGTCCCAAGCAGCCTCTTAGAGGTTAGAGAAGGGCAGCTCTCTTCTACCATAAGCCAGATAGGTGGAAAAGAGGGGTGAGAAGTTCTAAGGAGGCTGCAGAAGGGCTAATGAGCCTCACGGGACCTTGTCATGAACTGTGGATCCTGCACCACCTCACTGACAGGCGCCAATGTTTCTATAGTTACTGGTATTACCATATTTCTGCTAAGACCATCAGATACAACCACTGGGGGCAGGGCAATGGCTGTCAATGTGGACTTAGAACCAGTTCCTGGGCCCAACCTCAGCTACTAACTGAGGATGTGGGGCAAGTCCTTTCTGCAGTGGAGTAATGGTTGACCCTCCTGCAGAGCTGTGAGGAGATGGTGAGTCTACACAAAAGGTTTCTAGGGGGCTTGCTGCTTATAGGCAGTCAGCTCCAGAGACCCCTCTGGAGGGCAGGGACATATCCCCCAGCCTGAGACCAAATATCCTCCACACCTGGAGGTCAGGAAGGAGCTCCTTTCCTGGAGAGTCATTCTCTCTGACTGCCCACAGGAAGGGCTGCCTACAGCCTACCACGATCCCTTCATGTCCCAGCCCTTACCTGAATATGTCTGCCGCTGTCCCGTAGGAGCCCTGCAGCAACTCAGGAGCCATGTATCGGGGATCACCCTCCTGGGCCTCACCAGCTCCGGGTGTACCCAGCTCCACCAGCAGCCCAAAGTCACCAAGCTTGCAGCGGCCACGGGGCCCCAAGAAGATGTTGGCTGGCTTGACATCAAGGTGAACTAGGCCTTGCCCATGCAGGTGGGCCAGAGCCAGCAGGGTGTCCCGCAGGTAGCCCCAGACCTGGGCCTCTGGCAGGCTAGTGCCCCAGGCCTCAGAGTGTTGTTGAAGGCTGGGCCCGCACAGCTCTGTCTGCAGGTACAGGATACCGCCCTCCTCCCAAGCCTGCTCCAGTCGCACGCAGTGAGGGTGCTGCCCCACCTTCTCATGGCTGCATACCTCAGCCAGTTTGCGGGCCCGGTCCTTAGGGCCCCGAAATGGTGACATGGAGCACTTGACTGCATAGAGCCGACCATCTTCCTTCGAGCGCACCTGGAAGAGAGGTGGTGGGCTGGGAAGGTGGGCCATAGGGGCACAACCATATTTAATACATGTAAATGAGGTGTGCCTATAATCCCAGCACTCATGGAAGCTGAGCAGGAGGATCACCAATTCAAACCTAGACTAGACAACTTAGCAACTTAGACTCTGAGTCTTTCTCTCAAAATAAAAAATAAAATAAAAAGTCTGGGGATATAGTTCAGTGCAAAGGCCCTAGGATCAATCCCCACTACCAAAAAAAAGTTTTTTAAATTAAAAAATAAACCCCTATCAGCATTGTGGTGTACTGGGGCAGTCTCTACTGATTGGAGACTCCAGGGCTCCAGAACCCAAGGCAGTATGCTGTATTGTACGTAAGCTGTCTTCTAGAAAGGCAGCTGATCCAGGAGCCAATGCTGTCTGCATTTTTAACAATATTGGCTTCAGGGCTGGGGATTTAGCTCAGTGGTTTCACCGCCTGCTGCACAAGTGCAAGGACCCAAGTTCGATCCCTGGTACCAAAAAAAAAAAGAAATATTGGCTTCAATACTGCAAGGGAAAGCTACCATTTCAAAGAAAATATAATTAATTACAAAATGTATTTTAAGTAAAAAAAAAAGGTGGCAGGGTGGCAAGCCTACCAGTGTTGGGGGTCAGGGTGGGGACTACACTTGGGCCTGCTCCAGGGACCAGGCAGAGCTCGCCAAGGACCCCAGCAGAGCTGGTTCCAAGCAGAGATGGCAGCCAGGAGCACTGAAGGGTGTGCCAGGCTCCAGACAAGGCACCAGTGTAGATAGAACAGCCCTGGGAGGGCCTGCAAGGGTAGCATGGGAGAGCAGCCAATCATGCACAGTGGAGAGGCAGGCTGTCAGAGACAGAGAGGAAGGAACAGGCTGCCCAGGACACTGTCCCACCCAGGGGAGGGAAGCAAAAGGGTCCCCAGGCAGGCCTGGGAAGCCATCCTCTCACCTACCTTGAAGACCTCTCCAAAGGAGCCATGGCCCAGGCGGCTGAGCCTCTGGAAGCTCTGCTGGAAGAAGGACTCTGGCCTGCTTGGGTCATACCCAGGGCTCTGCAGGAGCTCTGAGGCCTTGTCCTGGAATGACACTCTCCGAGGCTGGGGCTGGTGCCAGCCCAAAGTCCGAGGAGGGAAGAGACGGCTGACAGGGATGCTGCCCTTGGCAGGGGGCCGTGGGGGGAGGCTCTGGCTGAGCCCCCTGGGCCTCTTGAGAGAGAACCCAGGCTCTGCATGACGGAAGTAGGCTGGAACTGGGATAGGGGTGCCACTCAGAGGTGGCGGGGTGCCCTCTGTGGGCACAGGCATGGCTAGTCCAAGAAGCCCTAGGGGCAAAGATGGAGGCCAATTATAGAGCAATATGTCCACCCAAATGCCCAGTCCTGTGGCCCCTAAGAAAGCCGTGTCTACACCTCACACACGTGCTGCTTTACACACATGAAGGCTGTGGGGGCCACACGCACCTGCAGGAGAAGGCAGAGGACACGCAGTTACACACTTGCACAGTGCACTGCATCTTGAAGATGACAGAAATATGACAGGAAGACCATGAACCCATGTCCCCGAGGGTCTCATAGCACAGCAGAAGGGTTAAAATAGATAGCTCTGGCTGGCCATGCCTGTAATCCCAGAACTAGGGAGGTGGAGGAAGGAGGATTACCATGAGTTCAAGGCCAGCCTGGGCTACATAGTTCAAGGTCAGCCTGAACTACATAGGGAGACCCTGTCTCAAAAAAATAAAAGAGAGAGAGTTCTGGGTTGACACCTGCATGTCCAGCCCTCCTGGCTGTGACTTTTTCCAAGAACCTGAGATGGATATATCAGCACCATCCCATATCTCCATTTCCAAAGTAAAAAGGCTCTGTGATCCTAAAGTTTCTTTCTTCCTTTCTTTCATTTTTGTATTTGTGCCAGAAATGAGAGTGGAGTTCCACTTCCTAAGCAGCAGTGTGAAGAGCCCTATGGGCCTATTCCCAGTGACATAGGCAGAACAGGTGAAAACCATTCACAGAAAACATTTGAGTCTTTAGATGTAATAATATGGGCAGAAAGCAAATGAAGAAACGTATCAAATGTTTAAGAGAAGAAGAAAGTCTACCAAATCTTAGTAAGAATATCAAGAATGTGTGATACCTGGAAAACAGCACTATAGGAAGATGTGGCCAAGAAAACTGGGCTCCTGCTCCCCATCAAAGTTAGGATATCAGCTCAGGAAGGGCAGGCTCTCAGGACTTCTCAGTGACCCAACTCCACACAGCAGAAGCCAACTGTGGCAGGCAGGCAGGCAGGCCGGGAGCTCCCTTCCTCTACCTCTCAACCCCCACTAGTGGGCTGGGCGGAGGAGCTTGAGGAGCTAGCCCCAGTGCTTGCATAGGAAGGAAACTCCACACTGCTCCAAGCAGCGGCCAGAGGCACTGCCCCAGCCACCCCTGCTTTTCAGTCATAGGGACATGTGCCACTGTCCCTGTCCCCAGCATGGCTCAGGGATTTTGCTCATGGGTAGTGGCAGGCTGTAAAAGAGTGCTGAAGCTGTCCCCTCCCCCAAATGAAAAAGTGTGGGGAAGTGGGTTTGGCATATGCAAGACCCTGGGTTCAATCCTCAGGCAAACAAAACAAAACAAAAACAAAAACTTCCAAAATCTGAAGGCCTAAATAAATGAAAGACATTAAAGACATTACATGTTTATAGATCCAAAGACTTGATATAGATAAAATGGCAATATTTTCCAAACTGTGGTTTGGGGAGTATAGTTCAGTGGTAGAGTGCTTGCCTAGCATGTGCACTGCCCTGGGATGATCCTCAGTACCACACACACACACACAAAATATATATATATAATAAAACCTCTCCAAACTAATCTACAGATCCAGTCCATTCTATCAGAATCCCCACTGGTTTCATTACAAAAACTGAGAAGCTGACCCTAAAATTCATATGGAAATTCCAGTGACCAAGAAAAGTTAAACAAACAAACAAAAAATTGGGAAAAGAATGAAGTTGGAGGACTCACATCTCACATCTCCAGTTTTGTTTTTTTGGGGGGGTTTGTTCTTTTTTTTTTTTTTGGTACTGGGGATCAAGATTGAACTCTGGTCTTTGTGCTTGTGGGGCAGGCAGTGAGTTGGTTTGGTTGAGAAAGGGTCTCACTATATATTCTAGGCTTGCCTTGAACTTACTATGTAGCCCAAGGTAGCCTTGAAGTCACAGGGATCCTCAGCCTCCTGAGTGTGCCTTCAATTCCAGCCAGATTTCAAAACTTACTACAAAACCACAGTAATCAAAACAGAGTGGCATTCACATAAAGGTATATGGATCAGCTGGGCATGGTGGCACAGGCCTGTAATACCAGCACTCAGGAGGCTGAGGCAGGAGAAATCACCTCAAATTCAAGGGCAGCCTGGGCTACAGAGTGAGTTCAGACCAGACTGGGGTACATACTGAGACCTTGTCTCAAAAAATAAAAACAAAAATAAACAAGAAAAAGATATACAAAGGAATAAAATTGAGAGTTCAAAAATAAACCCTTGCTGGATATGGTGGCACATGCCTGTAATCCCAGATCTCTGGGAGGCTAAGGCAGGAGGATCTCAAGTTTGAGCCCAGTGTTGGGCAACTTAGTGACTTAGCAAGGGACTGCATCTCAAAAACTAAAAACTAGGGCCGGGGATTTAGCTCAGTGCAAAGGCCTTGGGTTCAATCCCCAGTTCCAGCATAAATAATTGATTAATTAATTAATAAGCCTAACCATTTATGGGTTTCATTTACGGTTTTCAACAAGAGTGCCAAACAATTCGATGGGAAGGTACAAGTCTTTTCAACTACCGACACTAAATGTCTACATGCAAAACTAATTTGGATTAGTGGCAGGCTGTCAAAGAGAGCCCTGACTTTACGTACTTTTCCCTCTCAAAATAATTCATTTATTGTTTGGGAGAAATATTAATGATTGATCTTGGAATGACATCTCAGGACTATAAGTGGTGTTACATATATGCAATGTGCACCATATTAGCTTTCTAAATCTGAGACATTTTGAATTCCAAAATGTACCTTGCTTCAGGGGTTAATGGATCTGTCACACTGTACTGACCTCATGGAGGGCTTAGCCCAGTGTTTGACATGAATGCTAAGTATTGTACACAATACTCTGGCTGGTAACTGAAAGAACACCCGAAGTACAGTGGTCCCAAGGTGCCAGTGACCATTTCTGTTGAGCAGAGAGGGCTGCTGTGTTGCTATAATGTAATAGAGACAAAAACAAGAAAGCAACAGGGAGAAAGTCAATTTTGGGAGGAAGCCACAATGTATCAGAAGATGCCATACCTAGTAGAGGGTGCTGACTGTGCAGGATTAGTCAACTGAAAAGTAGCCTGCTGTTGTTGAGGGAGTAAGCAGGTGAGCGGAGGGATTCTGCTGGCCTGTCTGGAACGCTCACCCTACATCCTCGCCTCTGCCTCTATTTAGTTCATGAATCACATCCTGGGTCTTTTCAAAATGAGGAACCAGGGTGCCAGGATCTTCTAGGGCTCTGATTAGAAGTACAGCCTCCAGCTCTGATGCAACCAACACAACAGGCACCTGCATCTTAAATTAGTTTCCAGACTGTGTCAAAGTCACTTACATCCTGGCATCAATGGCCTGGCCAAAGAGCCTTAGGGATGGGAGGGATTGGTTGGGAAGCCACGTTGGGGATGAATCACGACCCCACCCCACGCGCAGTTTCCAGGGGCCTCAGGACTAACCCTCGGGCCTCACCTTCTCACTGGGCCAGGCACATCTGCTGACCTCGGTCTACCACTAGACTGTGAGTTCCTCTCAGGTAGGGCAGTGGCTCAATTCGCTCCGTGGGCGAGGGGAAACCCTGGCAAACAATTGGGTAGGCGGCCAGTCAACATGGAGGGAATGTCACAGGGGACAGCGCTGCAGAGGAGACTCGTTGCAAGGCGCGCGTGGCAAGTCAAGGAGAGCAGAGCTGGGATAGGAGCTTCCAGACCGAAGGGGGCCAGGCGGCGGGGTGGGGGGAAGCGCGGGACGCCAGGGACGGTCACGGGGGAAGGGCTCGAGGGAGTGGGCGGAGCCGTCGGGGACACCGAAGGCCCGGGAGAGGACACGGGGGGAAGGGCAGGCTCGGCCTCTGGCACAGGGAAAGGTGGGGCCGTCGCAGAGAGCGGAAAGGTCACTGAGGGAAGGGGCTTCAGGGGACGAGGTGAGGCTGGCCCAGGAAAGGCGCCCTCAGGGGACGAAAGGGCGGCCGGGCGCGAGCCCTCAGGCCTGGGTCTGGGCTCACCTGGGGCGGCTGGGCGGGACGCAGAAGCGAGGTGCCAGATTCCGGGTTGGCAGAGGCCGCGGGGCAGTCAGGCGGGCAAGGGCCCGCGGTCGACAACTTCGGAAGTCCAGGCGGAGGGCTCTCCGGAAGAGGGAACGGCCGGAGAAGGCGCGCGCGGAGCTAGCTCGCGCCAAAAATTCCAAACCCGCTGGGAGGCCCCGCCCAACACCTCCCTGGCCCCGCCCCTCGTCCTGCGTGCGCGCCACCCGGTCTCGTTGGCAGATCGCTCGCTTTGCGCAGGCTCACCGCGTCCTAGGTGCGGGCTGGGCCATGTGGTGGTTCCACTGTAGCACCTTGAAGCTGATTCCTCGTACCTAGTGCAATCCGATCCTGAGATCTTCCTGCCCGGATCCCCAGACCCCCAGGGGCCTCCAGACCCTGGCCCTGTCACCCTCAGCTTTCCCTGGGCTGCTTTACTTTTCGCATTTTCAAAAGAGGTAGTCTTGGCGCTAGTGTGTGTAACTTGTGGACAAAAATTTATAGACAGGTGCAAAAAATAAATCTTCTTTTGCAACTCAAAATTCATTGTTCAGTATGTTTTAATACATATAAAAAGGAATATTTTTGTCGGTTTTTATTGGTACATTTCAGATATACATAATGATAACAATTCATCTTAGGGAATTTGTACCTGTGCTTGTTATATCTTGCTGCTTCTTTTTTTTTTTTCAATTCCCTTCCCATCCCTTCAACCCCTCTTCCCCTTCTTGTTTACAAAAGCTTTGTTTCCATTTTTTTCCTTCTATTTTCTTAAGAAGGAATATTATCGCTGAGTGTAATAGTAGTGCACGCCAGTAACTTCAGTAACTGGGAGACCTCGGCAAGAGTATTCAAGTTGAGGGCAGCCCGGGCAACTAAAAAAGACCCTGTCTCAAAAAAAAAAAAAAAAGACCCTGTCTCAAAACTTTTTTTTTTTTTAAGTCGGGGATTTAGTTCAGTGGCACCGCTCCTGCCTCACAAGCACGAGGTCCTAAGTTCGATCCCCGGTACTCAAAAAAAAAAAAAAAAAAAATTTTATGGTTTTAAAAAAAGATGTCACAGGGGGCTGGGGATTTAGCTCAGTGGTTTTGCCGCCTGCTGCGCAAGCCTGCTGCGCAAGCGCAAGAACTCAAGTTCAATTCCCGGTACCCCCCCCCCCCCAAAAAAAGATAGCACAGAGGTATGCTGGAGGCTTAGTCCCAGGGAGTGGTCACTCTGGCAGAACAGGAAACCCTGGTAGGCCTCCACAACCCCAAGTTACAGTGGGAAACGACACCGATGCGTTTCCCACTCCCAGAATATATGGCTTCCGTGCATTTTCAAAAGCAAGAAAATACCACCCCTTCCAGGAAGCCTCTAGACAGGCAAGAGCCTCCTTGACCTTGCCTCTCCTGCTCACGGCCTCCCTCTGGACAGACCTCAGCCTTTCCAGTCTCTAGGTTTCCCCTTCAGCTCCTTCCCAACTGAATGACCTTGGTAACACATTGTACTCTCTGAGCCTCAGATTAGTCTCCTCTCCTGTAAAAATGGAGCCGATGATGCAAGGATGATCCCTTTAAAGCACTTAAGCTGGGCTGGAGACTACTACTTCCTCACAGAGGGGACCTTTATCCATTTCCTGGGGTGGTGGGGAGTCTTTTTGCTATTTCATTTCTCTCTCTGAAAGTGTTTGCACTTGTTACATACTTGTTATACTTGTTGACACCCATCTTCTCTCAGTCTTGGCCACCAGAACAAGTCCCCCAACCAAACCCCACTGCAGACCTCTAAAAAGTCACTGACTTCAGGTCTCCAGGCCCCTTTAGCACTTGAGCAGTCAGCACACACCCCCTGCATGGACCAGCACTAGGGGAGACCTGGCATAGACCCAGAGCTAGGGGGCTGCAGCCCACCTCCCTGTATTTTTTTTTTGAACAGGGTCTTGCTATGTAGTTCAGGTGGGCCTTGAACTATGTAGTAGTATAGACAGCTAAGTTAGGCAGAAATGTTATAGGCAGTCAGATAGGGCTAGGCCCGAGAGAGAGTCAGGACATAGGTAAAACACATTACAACCGTGTCCAGAGATGCATCCATTGGAGACCAGGCCTCAAGATAAAGACGAAATGACCAGGCTTGCATGCTTCCCCAAAGGATAAGATAAGCAGTAACACCTGGCCTAATGAAATCTAGATAGACATCAGTCACCCCAGTGGGTGACCGAGACCTCCAGACCCATCATTTCCTAGAAAAAGTCTTTGTTCTTTCCATGCACACTTGTTACATGACTTGTTTCCCTATTGGATCACTATTACCTAAGCGAGTGTATTTGTAACCTTATTCGTTGATCATACCTTTAACCCACCTTGTACCCACATGATTTTTGCTTTATAAAACTTCCAGGGCCAGGGATTTAGCTCAGTGGCACCACACCTGCCTCAAAAGTGCAAGGTCCTGAGGAGTTCAATCCCCAAAACCAAACAAACAAACAAAAAACTTTCCTACTCTTAACCTCAGTTGTTCCTAGAATTCATTCTTCAGTTTTAGAGAACATGAACTCGGCATATCAGACATCTAACAGGTTGGAAACTATAATATTTCCCTTATATCATCTGGAGGTCATATTTCATCTCCTGATAACATTTCCTATATCAGTAGCACAGGCTGCCCTTAAAATCGCAGTGATCCTCCTGCCTCAGCCTCCTGAGTGCTGGGATTATAGGCGTGCACCACTACTCCCAGCTCCATGCCTGGCCATATTTTAAAAATTTATTTAAAATGGGGCCAAGGATGTAGCTCAGTGCAAGGGCCTTGAGTTCAATCCCCAGATAGGTAAAATAAAAATAGTAAATAAATGAATGATATATCTATCTATATATCTATCTATATATGTATCTCTATATATGTATATCTAAATCCAGGTAGCCAGTAAGCACACCAGCTGTGGTAGCAGAAACATTAGTGCTGCCCTACACATGAGTCAAGTGGGATAATAGTTCCTCCCTCCTTGAGGGGATTGAGGACTAGCTGAAAAAAAGTGCCTGTAAAGTGTTTAGCCCAGGGCCAAGCACATGTCAGGGGCCTACTCTCAGTTTAGCTACAAGGGTAGCGCCCTCTCATCTGTACTGTTTGCAGTTGTCTAGGCCAGCTGCCTGCGCTAAAAGAAGGCCTCTGCAGGAGAGGGGCCGGGAGGCAGGTCCAGAACCAAAGCACTTGACGGGATTCTGTCGTGAAGGAGGACCCCCAAGCCAGCGCTGCCCTGAGCCGGATTCCCGGGATCCGGGCCCAGAGGACAGCTGGGCGCGCCCCCTTGTGTTCCGTCGCCGTAACAGCACCGCGGGGCTCCCCCCAGCCGCGATCACCCAGACAGGGCCACCAAAGGAACAAGTGACCGTCTCAAATGGAAACACGGAGACCCTAACGAGAGAGAGGGGACTGGAGACTGTGGTGGGCACTTCTGGGGAACTGACTACGTTCTATTTGGTTACATAGTATTTGCTGCCTAGTATTTTTTACACGATACATCACGTCTTACGTGTGCTTCTTTATGAACGCCATTTCACACTTGCATAAAGTTTTAATAAACTGGCAGGTGGGGCGGAAGGAGTTAAAAGAGGCCAGCTTTGCACGATGTGAGAGCTTGATGCTTGGGAAGGTATCCCAGAGGCGGCCGAGGCTGAAGCTCAGGTCTGGGCCACAGAGCTTCTCTGAGATGCGGAGCAGGCGGCCAGAGGGGCCAAGTACGCAGCTGTGGTGCAGAGGTGTCTGCTCACAGGCGCCTGGCCGCCGCCCAGCTGTCCTCCTGAATGCCCGCCCTCGCACGTGCTGCTGGGGTCAAGCAGTTGCCTGCGAGTCCCTTTTGACAAGGGCTGAGCCATTTTAGGCAATGCACTTCCTGGACCTTATCCACACTTCCAGCAACCCAGCTGTTGGTTTGCCCTTGGCCAGGGCCCTGCTCTTCAAATTTATTCCTCTGTTCAGAGGCTGGGCCATGTCCCCTCAGGCCAAGGTGCCCAGTAGTCCCGGCCAGGGCTCTGTCAGGGCCTCTCCAGGCCCCAAGACCTATAGATTCTCAGCTGGTCCTTCCTGGGGTGAAGTGAGTCCGTGCTGGGGGTGGGAGCTGTGGTATCGTGCTCCTGAGCCATGGGCAAGCTGCCCCAAGGTCCCAGGCTGCCTGGCACTTTCCACAGGCCCATGCCAGCACCCAGGCAGCTTGGCAGCGGCCAAGCAGCCACACAGCCTGCACTCATCCAGGGCCCCTCTCAGGCTCTCTCCGTGCCCACTCCAGCCAAGCGTCCTGGCACCTTGGGGGTGAGCCCTGTGTGTCTGCATGTCTGAGTGTCTGAGCTTGCATGGGGGCCTCAGCCATCCCAGGTCAGAAGCAGACTGGGGTAACTGGGCCTGCAGCCTGCCCAGAGCATGTGGAATGCTGGGAGTGCGACAGTGGACTTGGGGCCCTGAGGACTGCCTGGGTTCAGACTCCAGCCCACCACTTAGCTCTACCATTTGTGCCAAGTGCCTTCCTGCCTCTGTTTCCCCACATGTAAGTGAGGATAAATCCCAATAGCACCAGCACCATGGGCCTTGCTGACATCACTTTAGAGGAGGGTGAACAGTTTCAGAAAACCAGATTCCTGCCTCAGGTCTCAGGCCAGATGTTGTGGATATTGAACCCTTCCTGAACCCAGCACCCAGCCTGCTACCACCAGGCCACTGAGCTGGCCTCCATGAGGACACCAGGGAACCAGTGCCACCAGCCATGGGGTGTGGCAGATGGCCTGGCAGGAAAGCCCTACCCAGGGAGTCCCAGCTGTCCTAGTCCTCCCACCCCCTGCCTTTTTGTTAGTATATGTTTGCATGCATTCATTGTGGGGAGTTGGCAAATATATATATATATATATATATATATATATATATATATATATATATATATATATATATACATATATGTATAATCCTTTTTATTTCCTCTTCATCTTCCCTCTGTTCAGTGCTCCCCCATCTCCAGATCTCCAGATCCCCTCCCCATCTTCACAAAGTCTATCTCCCTGTTCCCTATCATTTGGGGATTATTTACATTTTGGGTTTCTCATATGAGCAAAGCTATGAGATACTTAACCTTCTATGTCTGATTTACTTCTCTTAGCATTATGGTCTCAAGGCACATCCATTTTCCTATGAGGGACTTGAATTTATCCTTCTTTTTGGCTGAGTAATATTCCGTTCTGTATATATAGCACATTTTTCTTTAGCCATTCATCTGTTCATGGACATGTAGACTGCTTCCAAAATTTAGCTGTTATGAGTTGTACTGCCATAAACATGGATATGCATGTGTCACTGTAATACGATGTCTTTAACTATCTCAGGGATATACCTACGAGAGGTATAGTGGGTCAAATGGAATATCTATTTTTAGTTTTCTGAGGATTCTCCATTCTGATTTCCAGGGTGGTTGTACTAATTTACATTCACATCAATAATATAAAAGGGTTTCTTTTTTCCCCACAACCTC